TACTGCACAACAGATGTGGCACTCACATAACTAGTGGATCAAAGAAGTATGCTGCATGATTAAAACTCCAAGCCAGCCTTAAAAGTAGTCACTTATCTATACAAAGTCACAATATACATTGGAAAGATACTAGGTATGCAAATTCCCTTTGTCTTCCTATTTGCAAAAGCTTATAAGGTAAAAGATATAAGAAGGGAGATTTAGTACCTTTTTCAAAGTTGAGAAAACAATATGAAACAAAGTCCAAGACATAGTACTTGTTTCTTTCCTAAAACCTGCTAACATCTTTGGAAAGATGATCTGTTCTAAACTGGGAGACAATGACATTTTGCTCTGTGTTCTCTTTTGTAGGACACAGACTTTACATGCTAGCAGTGGAGAATATAATGGTCTAAAGAACACAGCTACAAAAGTCTTTCAAACAAATATTTCCCAACACCTATCATCAGCCCTATGTTTCATTAAGTTATCATCCCTCTAAAAAGACAACTTCCATATACTGTGGTGCACTTATATGTACTCACAAGATGAACAATTTCACAGTCGTTACAAATAATAATTACATAGACAGTAGAGAGTGAAAAGAGCAGTAGTGAATGGACTTGGGTTCTATCCCCAGTCTTTCCTCCCAGGTACTAGTTACATCGCCTTGCCTGAGTTGTTTCATCTCAAGGACTCATTCTTTCTTCTGTTAAGTTTGGATCCACAACGCCCTCAACGAACAAAATAATGTTTGTACATGGAATTGTCTCAGAGTCCTCTCTTATAAAAGACACTCCATAAAATGAAATCCAGAAGTATTATCAGTAGAAAAAAAAAACCAGTGATATGTTAAATGAACAGGCAGAGTATATAGAAACAGTAGCTACGATATTTAAGATATATAAGTTAAGTTGAAAATGAGAATATTTGATTAGGATGAGATAATGGACTTCTGAGCCAATGTATTTTTAAGTCAATGATACTACATCTTTTTTATTCTCGATTATAAAATTAGTCATGTAAGCACAAGAAAATGCTTTCCATTGTGGTCTCAAGGCCAGAGTAAGAATGTTCTGCCAGTCTGGATTTTTACAACCTTAGGACAATGAGCTAATTAAAAAAAAAAAGGGACAATCATTTATTGACCTGAGCTGCAATTCAATTCAGAAAATTATATTTGTCTAGTATTGCAATCCTGCTTACTCACCATATTTTGATATTTTGGTTCTGAGCAAATTGTTCTTTAATGGATATATTGACATCTACACATATAAATGAGCTTGCTTAAATGCACACATTAATTATATTTTTAATAATTTAAACCTTCATGTAGAATATTTTCTTGATGAAACACACACAACATAGAATTACAGTGAAAAGTGAGAGAAAGTCTCCTCTATCTCCTACCATGTTTACTCCTATAAGGTGACCACGAGCAAAAGTTGGAATAGAGCTTTTCACAACTTTTTCTATGTCTATCAACTTAAATACAATTTGTGTATTAAATACTCAATTTTAAATTTTGCCCTCAAAAAGTCATATTTGTGAGAGTAGCATCTCTTTTCACTAGATTACATAATAAATGTAGTAAGTATGATGAGTGAATCCTAAATACTGAATATTCTAACAGCAACAAAGTCAGTTTTATTTATGAAAGTTCTCTTTATATTTCAAGCTAATGATTTTTTACTTATATTAAACTAAATCACATGTTTGAATTATATTAATGAAAAGATTATCTGGGATAAGTTTGTAAATGGAAAATGCTGTTATACAAATAGCATTCTACTTATATATGCTTTATATTTTTATTTAAATAGTTTAGATTACATTTTATTATATTATATGTTATACTGTGTGTTACATTTCAAGTTATATATATTATATAAATATATAAAATGGTATAAAGACATCAAGGAATAAAATCATATTGTAATATATAATAGCTAACAAAATCAGAAATTTAAGACGTGTAAAAGTCAACTTATGGAAATATAATGTCATTTTTTATACATAATTTGAAGGTAGAATATTATTACTGAAGTAACAGAAATAGAAAAGCAAACAGTGCCCCATCAATGAATTTGCTAATTTTATTAAACTTATGAGCCTAAGAAAATATACTTTTTCTTTAAACTAATGTTTACAAATTTTTTAAACAAATGCTTAAGAATAAATACCATAATCACTTTCTGCAGAACCTGGCATATAGTAGGTTCTCAGCAAATCACTACTGAATAAAAATGCTAGTGACTTCTTTTATATTCTTATTATATAAACTCAAAATCTTTGACACTTATAAGAAAACACTAATTTCAAGATTGTTTTTATTTCTTTTCTTAAAATTCATAAAATTTTAATTACAAGTAAGGCTGACCTTTTTCGCAAGTGAAATAAGATGAAAAATATAAAACATCATTATTAATTTGCTATGAAATCCCTTTTAAACTGTGACTCTGCCATTGGGACTAAATTAAGGATGTAAAGAACCAGTCAGTGTGGATGGCTAGTTATGGTTGTTGTGGGGGAAGGGAAAGGGGAACCAGATAAGATAAGGCAGAGGAGAAGTATTCAAAGCACTGGATTCTTGCTTAAGACACTTAAGAGAATTCCAAAGGTAGTGTTTGGCTTGGGGGCATCCTAGGGGAAAGTAGGCAGATTTGGAGAAAGTGGGAGAATGGAAAAGAAAATAGAGCACAGATTCACAAAACCAGAATTAAGGTGGTAAAGCCAGAAGTTGGGCTGCCATGATCAAAGTATTCTGATCAGAATGAGAAACAAATCTGATAAAGGGATAAATGGTACATCAGCAGGTCTCATTCATGAGAAGCCAACTGTGAAAGAGGACTAAGTAGGCTTCAAGTTTGAAAAGTAATGGGGCGGGATGGGGGTGGCTGAGAAATTAGAATAGGAACTGTAGTTGGAAGACATTGGTCAGCTGAGTTCTCTGAGGCCTGTTGGTTCTGAGTGCAGAGGAACAGGGAAAACACTTGTTTTTCTTCCCCAGTAATGGAGCAAATATATATGTGTGCTCATCTGTGTATACACACAAGTATATATTTTGTCTGTATACCTAATATATATTGATTTTAACATGTATAAATAAAAATACATATAACATGTTTGTAGTTTTTGAATGATAAAAAAAGAACAGTAAGATGACAGAACTGTAATTACAGCCCATGACAACCTCAGGTCAAATGATTGGAAAGCCACAGTGATACACCCAAGCAATTACATTACTAAGTCAGATGTTAGATTAACTGGACAGGTTTCTGTCTTGTACAGTTATATCTGGGACTCATTAGCATACAGGGAGGCATTTATTTCTTATGCAAAATCATTTTGATCCAATACTATATAGACTACCTAAAGTTAAATGGAACAATAGGCACATTAACAAATCAATATTTTTGTATGCATTTTGAATTGTGGCCGTACTTTTTTATGAGGCTATCTGACGCATTTTATAATAAATAAATAATAAAATAGAGTAGTTGTGACTAAATTAGACTAGGACAATTGCTGCAGAGCAAAGGATGTCAGTATTACTAGTCTCTTGATTATTGCCAATTGAGCCTTGAATTTGAAAATAAGTCTTCTGGCAATTTAGGCAGTAAGGGAAATAGATGGATAAGGACTTTTGTTAAAGTATCAGCTCTTCTTTTCACATAGATAAAAATATAAATCACAAATAAGATTCACTTATTTTATGAATTCTGATTGCCTACGTCAGAGATTTAGATTAGCTACAATAATTCACAAATGATTCTACGTATTTTCTATATTTCCCAGTATTTATTGTTTGGCAAAAAAAACAAAAAAAGGACCTTCCAAATATATTTGCAGATGCAAATGTTTCTTTCAAAAACTCAGTTTTTGTGTCTATTCTTTTACAAAGAATGGTATTCTAACAGGAAAAAATCTTCATCTAGAATTTACTAAAACTCACAGAAATACTACTGAAGGATACAGTCTTGCTTTTAGTCCACTATAAAGAACTAGTATAATAACAGCAAACAATTACCCACACACCTATATATGGGCTGGATTTCTTATGCAAATAATTTGAGTGTTTAGATGTGTGTTTTCCTGCTGACACAATGCAAAATAGATTTTCTTGCCGGCTTCCATCCAATTTCCACCACCAGCCTCAATCATTGCTTTTTATTGCCCCGGTTCAAAAATTATCATTTCCATTTCAAAGAGGAGAGCCTAACTGTTTATTTACAATCACTAAGACAAACAATCAATAAGATTTTTCTGTGAGATAGCCATGCAGTATTCTAGAAGCAGTTATTCTAGACTCAAGAGTTAACTTTATTGGAGTTTTACTGAAAGATCATATGCCTATGAGCACATCATAACAGCACTGAGGAAACAGCCGCATAAGTATCAGAATAAATTGAAATGAATTTACATTTTATTAGAGAAAAATGTTAAAATTATCAAAAATATAATTAGTAGGGAACATCTGTAACAAAATAAAACATAAGAAATGACTGATTGATAGGCAACTTGATAGGGATTCAGCCTCATAATTTTATATTCAAGCTGTTTTCATGTACATCAGTAAAGACATCTAACATTATTAATTCCTAACACATTTGTGCTAACAGCCAAGATATTATGCTACAGCCAAGGACGAAGTCTGTCAACTTTCTAGCTTATTTGCAGTAAGCAAAAAACATGAGAAAGCAAGCGACCAAACCAGACAGTGAGAAATGGCAAGTCTTCATTTTTAAAACTCCCCAAATATTTGCCAGTTTCTTCCCGCCTCTAAAAATTATCATCACATAAATTGCTATAGTCCACAGTGAGTTGAAAAAGAAAAAAAGTGAGCACCTCTTTGGATAGAACCAGGCGGGAAAGCAGAAGAGAGAATAAAAGAGTCGTCAATATTGTGTTCTTTCTCACAAAGCCTGAACATCACACACTTTGCCAGTAATTACTTAATAACCAAGTACTGTGTCACTCTTAAAAGGGAAGGGGAGAAGAGAGAAAAAAAATCACTTTACCAAACCGCCTCTGTAGTCCTCAGGGAACTTGTAGACCGGGATCTTGGCTTCATAACAATACTCATTTTGAAAAGAAAAAAAGAAAAAAAAAAAGGATATTTTCAAGTATTTTGATCAATACATTTCAGCTGTCTTTCTGCCAAGATCTTAAATATATTCCATTTCCAAGGGAAGCTGTTGAAAGAAATCCACTTTTTCCGGCATCTGCCTCGTGCCCTCAGTCCAGCTCATCAGAAAGGTTCCGAACCACAGGCGCGTTTTCCTCTTTCATGCTGAATTCACTCCAGTACCAGGCTGTTCAGAACTGACAGTTTCTTTTCTGTCCTGCTTTGCCAAGGGAGGAACAGAATTTTAAATCTATTCTTCATCTGTGTCACAAGGAAAGCCAGCATGGTGAAAGGGTCACTTGATCTCTTTTTTGCAACTCCATAATGACAGGTTTAAAGGTTTTCCCACACTGAAAGTTCTCAGGTAGAGCGAGAGAGAAGGGGGAAACAGAAAACAACCTGGAGCAGTGTAACACGGAGAGCTGTCAAGGAAGTTTCATTTCAGGGCGACTACAGGAAAACACTCTCCCTGGTGGAGCAAAGAAGTCAACTAAGGAATAAAGCGCTCCTCACTTCGGGTGGGTGGGGCGATTTACCTGCCAGTGTAATTTCCGTTGTGTCCCCTGAGAATTTGACTCTAAGCCTTTGTGAATGAGAACTATCATTCAATCTCACCAGGCAGAAACTATTCCTCAAGGGCTGAATGACGTCTGTAAGAAGGCAGTTCAAAACATAGCAGGGAAGTGAGAAGAAAAAAAAAAAAAAAAAAAAAGCACCCAGCCTGGTCAATTGCTGAAACTTACAAAACAAAGGGGCGGACCGGCTCCGGAGCCCAGATTGTAAACCAGCCAAGCAGACAGGAGACCTTTTGCAACTTGGAAAACAATTTCCTCCTCTGGAAAAGAGGTGTCTGGGTTATTCACAGCAAGATTCTGTGAGCACCTTTGTAAGGACCACATCACGGCCCTTGCCGTCAAGTTTGGTGTTTTTTGTTTTTTTTTTTTAACCACCAAAAAAAAAAAAAAAAAGTCCTTTTCTCTTTTCTCAAAGCACCACACTGAAAACTCGAATTTCCCATCAGGAGCAAAGTGGAGAGGACTTGAGTTTGAGAACCCCACAGCTGTTGGTTTTGATCAGATTCAATAAAATGTCTTGCCTTGCTTGGGGTCGGCATATATACAGATGTAAACTGTCCATTAAAAATTTAGCAGAGTGTAGCAAGAATCATTGAGAGAGGTACTGGAACTGAGACTTTTAATGTCTTATTGCTGGATGAGTGGCTACATGCACTGAGGTGTGTGTGTGTGTGTGTGTGTGTGTGCATGTGTGTCTGTGTGGACAATGTTTTCTAAGACTTTTTAAAAAATGATATGTAAATTTCACTGATTTCTGCTAATTCTTAACAGCTTTTTAGTAAGGAATGCTGCTTTACATCAAGCCAACTTTGCTTATTTTCAAAACCATACCTCCCCCCACAGCCTACATCTGAAATAAAAACTGTTCTTTTGTGGTAGATACAACCTGGGCAATTTCCACTTGCTCCTAACAGAAGGAAAGTTCGTCCACCCTTGCCTACTCCTCTGAACATTTGTGCAAAGGATACATATTCCTCTGAATGTGCTAACTTCAATTATTTCAGAGGTGAATTACCAAGTGAAAAGAGTTTAATCATTCTTATTTCTTAAATGACATTAGTTAGTGCGTTGGTTCTGTGGTCTGACGTGAACTTGGTATTTATTTAGCATTTGCAGACAGGATGTTGGAGAGCAGTTGTGACCCACCCAAACAACTTGGAAAATTAATGTGTGAGGCATCCGCCAGAGGCTCTGGCTGCTTATTACAACAAACCCTTCCACTCCTAACCGTCACACTTCAAGGTGCATTTGTGATTTCGGTCTTATTTTGGGATTCTTGGGTTTCTTAATGTAAGTGCCAATAAATTGCTTTGCACATACTTCTCTCTTTAAGTTTTGAGCTTTCCTCTGACTGCACAAGAACCTTCACATCTTCTCAGTTGGGACCCATGCTGCGTATATGACCTTAGGCAGGTTAACAAAGTCTGTGAGACCACTACTCACTGGGGAGAGGAGGTCTTAGGGGAGGAGGTTTACTTTTTTTCTTCTTGGAATTTTAAGATGGTATAAGGAAGGGAAAAAAATAATGCCCAAGTAAAATTAAGCAGCTTCTTTCTATTTGTAACTTGTTCTCTTCCACCTAAGGTCCACCAAATGTCTTCTGGTTACCGTGTCAGAACAAAAATGACAATGATCAGAGTGCAATGTCTGAATGTTGTATGTTAAGCTCTCCAAAAATAATCTGCCTTGTGTCTGCTGTTTTCGAGAAGACCCTGTCTTAGTGAGATTACCTAGTGATGGCCACGCCCACCTCTGTTGGTGGTGCAGCTCCATGTTGTCCTGTGCCTTATTTACTTGTTCAAAGTTCCCCCATGTACCAAGAATCTTTGTCAGAAAGCCCAAGTGCACTTACTGAGATCTACTAAATACTGCATGATAGTCCCACACTGACTAATCTATCATCCCCATCCTCAAAGAAAACAAGTTTAAGTGGGGAATCTGCAAACACGAATCTAGCCAGAATGTTCCCTAAAATCTCTTATACAAGTACTGAGGACACAAATACAATGAAGGAACTGTCACAGGTGACTGAATGGACCCTAAAATGTGATTTACCTTTCTGTTGTCATTCAGTGATGAGCATAACTTACGGAACTAATGATTTATCAAGAGCCATGAATTTATTACATGAGACAATAACTGCAATCAATTGGATGGGACACTGAAGGAATTATTTTTCTATATTCCTTCCAGGTTCCTCAGACACTGACAAGTGGGAATTCTCTGCCTGCTGTCCAATCTTCTTAAGTAAACTTCTATTGTCAGATTACAGTAGACACTTACTGCCCAGTCTGTCATGAACAGACTTCTTAGAATCATACTGTAAGCTAAATATTTAGGCCTTTCAAATATACTTTAATTAGGAACTTCAGAAATGTCAAAATAACTTTTTAGGAAAAATGACCATGGAGTTTCAAGTTTTACAGTTTCCTGGTATTCTACATTGTACTTGAACATTAATGAAAACAAGTCACTTTGAACTCTTATAGCATTTCGTCAGCATTGAGAAGTAATGTGGATATTTTCCTTATGTGGAGGGGAATTTTAAGTAGATTCCTAGCATCCCTTTTATCTTATCACACTCACCATATACACAACTAGATCCAAGGACTTTCCCATTGGCAAGAGATTCCTAACTTGTTAAATTCCCAAGAAGTCCAGAGTATTATATTTTAAAGGGTTCTTATCTTCAGACTTCCCACTTCTTTCAAAAAATGTCAGGTTATAATAAAAATCAGTACTATTTATCAATCACTTTCTAAGCACTACGTATACGATACTTAGCATATTTGGATTTTAGGTGGTATACACTCTTATTTATCCATCACAACATATCTGCAAGGTAGATGTGACAATACTACTTTCATAGATAAAACAAGCTAATATGTTCAAAATATTTGGATCCAGTTGTATGTCATCCCAATGTTTGTTCCTTATGATGTGTGTATGTGTGGTAGGGGGGAGGAAGGAAGAAGAAGAAAGGGAGGTTAAAAATTGTATTAAAGTTCTTGAAATTTTTAAGACATCCATCCTCTTCAGCTGTACAGTGGCAATATTAAAAACCGTGTGTGTGTGTCTGTGTGTGTGTGTGTAAAATGCATAATACAGGCGGCATGTTTAACAGCTAGAAAAATTTTAAAATTTCAAGGTATTTGGGATTAAACAATCTGACTTCACTGTCACTGTTTTTAATTTTTAGGCATAAACACTAAAGGAGTATGACAGTATCATGAGTCTATTAGCCGTTAGGTGAGATAAGGTCTTTGGTCCTACTCATAACATGAGTAATGGTGGCTTGCTGTTCCCTATGCACACGCAGCACTTTGACTGCCTTGTAAGGTAATACTCGACAAGAAATGATCATTTCTAAAAGTAACAATACACAAGACCTTTGATAAGATACAGATTTCAATATTTGCCAACAAATTTTATTGTCTTTTAAAAGGTACTGAAAACTAGCTTGTAAAGCTAGAAACATTTCTGTGTGAGATCAATGACAATGGACATGAAATGTATTAAGTAGTTGACTTTTAGAACTTTGCACACATTCAATGTTATATTTCAAGGAGAAAATTGTAAGAAGCAATTAGATTGTCTAATAAGTGCTGCTGCATTTCCACTGTGTTATACCTCCTCCCTTTTCCTTCTTTTACTCTTTATGCTCTTCTTCATTCTAAATTCAAATTCTTCCCTGCAAATTTAACCTCATTTTGGATTAAGTAGTTTAATGTTAGTAATGAAGTACATGAAATGATTTAGTCATCCAGTGATAAGAGTAGCATTTTTAAACTCCTGCACTGACTCCTGACCCTATAGGTCACACCTGAGGATAAGATCCCAGAAGTGATGGGAGGTGTGTGTGAACGGCTGGGGCTTGTGCACTGCGAGTTTTTGTGCACTGTCACTAGGTATCTAGCAGGCATTTTTCGAGGCTGTCTCAAATGTCATTATTGGTAGGATTTATCCTTTGGAGTAGTTCTGTTTTCCTAGAGAAGGATATGTACCGGCCTGATAATGATCTACTGTAAGCAGGAGGTGGAAGTGATGGAATTGATGAGTTCACAGGTATTCATATGATTTGCCTGTGCAAAGCCATTCCTCCCCCTCTCCTCTGCCTAATATCCTGGACTCTCTGGTCCACAGAGAGGGATGTGATGTAAACTGATTATGCTGAGAAAGGGCGAAGGCTTGTACATAAATGTACATTAGACCTACATCCATATACGTGACAGTGCTATCGTGCACATTCACCACCACCCTCCTCCAGGACTTTTCAACCTCCCTCACTGGAACCCTTGCCCATTAATTAGTAGCTTCCTAGTCCCCTCTTCTGGCCTGGATGACCATCAGTCAGTCCTACTTACTAATTCTTGAATTTGACTACTGTAGATACACATGAGTACAATCAGAAAGATTAAGCTTTAAGGCTAGATGTGGAATATCATAGCCAGTTTTGTTCTAGCTGTCTTATTCTTAAGGAGAAAATCAAATCATTGAAAGACAAGGTTGGGGGACAATTCCCATGCTGAGAAATTACTTGCTTGCTCCACCACTTACATTTTTTACAAAGTATCTGCTTGACTTTGAAGAACAAAAAACATCTCTGCTTTGACCAACAGCTGGTAATTTCTTAAACCATTTTTGGTTTGTTTTTTGTTATTGTTGTTTAAATATATACAACTATCATTAGCACATATCCAGACTGACCATATTAGAACTTAAATTCTCATTTCAAATTTATAAGGTCCCCTGTGTTTAATCAAATGGTTTGTATCTCTAGATACCTATCTTGAGGGATAATGAAAAATTACTTATATGAATAAAAAATTATTTACAAGATTTTTCAAAAGATATAAAACAACTGGCTAATCATACCTTATTTCTAACACTGGGATAAGTTGGGGTTATCATTAAAATAGGGTTTGAAAAATAACGTGTCAAAATGCCCAAGGAAATGTTTTAATAATCATTTCATCTTATGTAATAAGTTAATGAAGAAAATTTATTAGAAAGCAAACTTTCATCAGGGCTAGTAATCTACATTTGTTTGAGAACATTTTCCTGGGTATATTTTAAAGGAATGGTGAAGTAATATAGACACCTTCTTGAGCATGC